GAACCACTGAGCTAAATCCCCAGCCCCATTTAAAAAATTTTTAATTTTTATTAGTACATATTTACAGTACATAATGATAACATTCATCGTGGGGAGTTGGTACATGTACATAACATGTCTTACTCCTTTTCCCTCCTCCTTCATTAAGTGATTTTTTTGGGGGGGGGTACCTGGCATTAACTGATTTTTAAAGAAGAGGTGAGGAGGAAGGTAAAGGGCTGGTAAAGCTGCAAGTCAAGGGGGATTAAAAAGAGCTGCTGTCGTTTTTCTCCAGGGTTGATGTGGCAGGGATGGCTGAGGAGGGTCACGCACAGGACTCACCTGTATTGGTCCTCATGGGTGTCTTTCTGTGTTTCTCTGTGTCAGACGCTGTTGTCTGTGGTAGAACAGAGGCTGTGTTTTTTTGAGCTCATCTATATCTGTCAGTCAGTTGTGTGGTCATTTAGAAGAGTCTATAGAGGGCCAGGGATTTAGCTCAGTGGTTCCGCCGCCTGGCTCACAAGTGCAAGGACCTGAGTTTGATCCCTGGTACCAAAAAAAAAAAAAAGAGTCTATAGATGTGTTTTAGGTGGATCTTTGTTCTAATAGGACTGCACATGCCCACTTTCATGTAAAATCACCTGAGTAATTTATTTACTCCATTTTATTTGCATGGTTCTGCAGAAACTTAGATAACGGCAGCCTAGTTGCTTAAAGAAGGCAAACCCAAAGGGCTTCTTGGTAGAGCTTAGCAAGCAGTAGTAGTAATTGGCTTCTTGGGAGCTAATGTGGGAGTTCCTTCTTTTTTTTTTTTTTTTGGTACCAGGGATCGAACTCAGGACCTTGCGCTTGCCAGGCAGGCGGAGGCACCACTGAGCTAAATCCCTGCCCCGGGAGTTCCTTCTTGATGAGCTTTCAGTCTGGTTAGAAGGCTGGGAGTGCCTGTGAGGAGGCAGCAGACCATGGACTGGATCATGGAGAACTGGATTTTCTGTGTTTTTAGCCATCTGTATCCTCTTTCAGAGTCATCCAGAAATGGGCTTGGTGACCACCCCGGTAAGTCCCACTCCAGCAACTCCAGTCACATCGCTTGGGACCACACCACCATCCTCTGATGGTGAGCTCACCACTTCTGTCTTCTTGATTCATGTGGTTTTAGAACTTTAGGGTGAGCATAGCTATATTGAACAAAGAGCACAGTTATTGATTCTTTCAATTAAGAAATTTGCCTGAGCTGGGTAGGGAGTGCAGGGCCCGTAGTACCAGAGAGGCTGAGATGGGAAGATCATTGAGCTCAGGAGTTTGAGACCACCTTGGGAAGCACAGCCAAATGCTGTCTCAGAAGACAAAAACAGGAACAAAGCAAAACAAAACAAACAAACATGAAAAGAAAAGAAGAAATTTGTTTGTATATAGTACTGCCCTTCAGAATTCCTGAAGTTCCAAAGCAAACTTTGGAAAAGATAGTCAAATGCTTTTTTCTTTAAGAAACAAGACCTGGAGGGCCTGGCAAGCACAAGGTCATGAGTTTGATCCCCGGTACTCCTGCAAAAAAACAAAACAAACAAAAAAACAAGACCTGGGTATGGTACTGCATACCTGTAATCCCAGCACTTGGGAGGCTGAGGGAGGCTGATCACCTCAAGTTTGAGGTCAGCATGGGCTACAAAGTGAGTTCAAGGCTAACCTGAATTACAGAGGGAGACCCTGCCTTGAAAAACAAAAAATAAATAAGAAAGAACAAACCAAACCAAACCAATATAACTCTAGCCTGTCTTCTGGGAATGGTCTTAAAATCATGGCATGTCAAGGGCTGAGGATTTAGCTCAGTGGCGCTGTGCCTGCCGCCCAGGCTCAAGGTCCTGAGTTTGATCCCTGGTGGTGGTGGTGGGGGGAATTGTGGCATGTTAGATCTGAAAGGACCCTCGAAATCCAGCAGTGTGTGTCCTGCTGAACACTCCGTGTTCTTGTCAGGCTCGGATGAAATATTTTATGAAATAAAATAAATTTGTGACTATACTGAAATATATGTAAAATAGTGATGTTATCCCATGTAACCATTTTACAGATGAAGGATTGAGGCAGAGGAGCAGTTTAGTGAGAGTATAGACTACAAAGCAGGAAAGCTAAGCAGGGCAGGGCCTGTGTCTGTTCTGCTTAGCAATAAGGTCAGCATGGTGCCTGGTATGGTGATCACGTAGTAAATAGTCATTGAATAAGTGAATGGGAGAGTGAATTCACTGCTGTGTCTGCCAGACACTCCCAGGTGGAAGTGACAGGATTAAGCATATTTTAGTTGGGACTTTGCTAGGTATTAAAGACTTATTTCCTTAAAAGCAGCAAAATAGGAGCCGGGGATTTAGCTCAGTGGGTCTGCCGCCTGCCTCGCAAGCCAAGGTCTTGAGTTCGATCCCCAGTACCAAAAAAAAAAGAAGCAGCAAAATAGTCCCTTTATAAATCTCGTGGCTGGAATGTAAGCAGAATATAACAGAAATTATGTTTAGCTGGGCATGGAGATGCATGCCTTTAATCCCAGCATTTGGGAGGCTGAGGCAGGAGGAGCACTGTGAATTCGAGGCCAGCCTGGACTATGTAGTGAGTTTGGGGCCAGCCTAAAGTACATAATGAGACCCTGTCTCAACAAAACAAAAAAGAAATTATGTTTGAGGAAAGATATTTCTAACCTAATTTAAAAGTTATACAATGTATAGATGTATCAAAATATCATTTAATATATCATAAATATGTATGAATTTTATGTATCAGTCAAAAAAGAAATTATGAATTTGTTCCAGAAATCCTTGTGTTACCTTGCCTGAATTGGTTCTATTGTAACCAGAGTGTACCTTAGCCTGAAAATAATCTACCTTAATACTTGATGTTATACCTCAAATATTGACCTAATTTTGCATAAGTAGTACAGAAAATCCAACCCTGATCTTTTCTTTATGTTTCATTCCTTTTTTTTTTTCCCCCTTGGTACCTGGAATCAAACTCAGGACCTTGCACTTCCAAGGCAGCTGAGGTGCCTCTGAGGCACATCCCAGGCCCATCCTTTTTTGTTTGATTTTCTTTTTGGTACTAGGGATTAAACTCGGGTCTTTGCGCTTGTGAGGCAGGCACTGGAACCACTGAGCTAAGTCCTTTTTTTTTTTTTTTTTTTTTGAGACAGGGTCTTGCTATGTAGTTCAGGCTGGCCTTGAACTCACTATGGAGCCTAGGCTGGCCTTGCACTCATGACAATCCTCCTGTCTCAGCCTTCTGAGTGTTGGGATCACTGGCATGCACCACAACCCCTGACCTCCCACCTGTTTGCATGTGAAATAGTCTTCTTTGTTGTTTTCCTCCCTTAAGTTTTTTGTTATTGTTTTTACTTTTTTTGTTGTTTTTTGAGACAGGGCCTTACTATGCAGTCCAGGCTGGCCTTGAGCTCACTGTGTATCCCTGGCTGGCCTCAAACACATGGTAATTCCCCTGCTACAGCTTCGTGAGTGCTGGGTTTACAGGTGTGTACCACCATGCCTGGCTACTGTTACTGTTTTTATTCTTCTTATTATTATTTGCAGTACTGGGGATAAAACCGAGGGCATTTGCACTGAGCTACATCCCTACCCATTTTTATTTTTTATTTTGAGACAGGATCTCACTAAGTATGGTAGATTGGGCTCAGACTTGCTATCCTTCTTCAGCCTTCCAGAGTGCTGGGCGTGTACCATGGCTGGCTGTTATTATTCTTTTTTTTTTTTGGTACTGGGGATTGAACTTGGGTCCTTGCTGCCTGCACAGCAGGCAGCAAAACCACTGAGCTAAATCCCTGGCCCTGTTATTCTTTTAAGTGTGTGGTGTTGGGCACCAAACTCAGCATCATGCATGGTATGTGAGCAGTCTATCACTGAGCTGCATCCTCAGTCCCTAAATTTTTATATAGAACTGTGGCATAAGCATTTTAAGGGAGTTTAAGCCATACAAGGAAGTATGGCAAAGAAGTACCATTGATATATATTCAGGTCCCTGGCAGCAGATTGGATCTTCTGAGAATTGAAAGCCAAATTCCAAAATATCTTAATGAGAAGGAGCTAGTAGTGAGGATTTCCTCCTTGTCTGTTTATTGAGGTCACTAGATAAGCCAATGGAAATACTGTACTTTCTCTTTAAGGATGAAGCCTGCTTGGTTGCCATGGATATCAAAAGCCATATATAAATATATACCTCAGTTCCATGTGATATTAGGGTTTGGATGCTTTGAAGAACTGCCTTTCAAACTGTTCATTGTGAACACTACCACCCACACGCTTGATTTTGCAAGGGCAGGGTTTGTGCTTACTTATCTACAACCAGTGAGCTTTTATTTTTTCTGGTGGGAAGATGAAGCCATCCCACTTTCAAATGACTGTCTTTCTTGACAAAACTGCTAGAAAGAATTATGAAGCCTAAGGTCAAGGAATAATGCTTCTTTAGGAAGGAGACTTTAATTTGAGAGGGATTTTATTCTTGTCTGTTCTGTTTGTTCTTTTTCCCCTCATAACTCGTTTCCTTTCTGCAGGGGTCCTAAGTATTATAACCTTATTTTTCATTTTTGGTTTTTAATTATAGTGCTGCTCAGTAGCCCAGTTATATTTAAAGGTGTGTTACTGGAACTATTATTTTTAAAAGCCAGCAGTTTAGCTGTAACATTTGTTCTCAGCTCAGACTTGACATTTGACAACTCCTCGGCATGAGAGGACTTTGGTAAACTAAAAATACATATACTTCTATATTTCTACATATTATATAAGATAGTTTCCCAGTTATTGCCATGTGTGAGTAGGAAAGACGTCCCACTTACCATTGAGATGCTCTTTGTGCTGGACAAAGGCATGCTTATGGCTGAGCGTCGAAAGAGGCTGCAATTTGAAATGACCATCTCAGGCCATTAACCCCTAACATGAATTAAGACCTTTTAGTACTTCAACATAAAAGTATATTTATCTTTTATTAGCTCTTGGGGTCCAAACTGTAGGGAAACAGCCAAGAGTTGGGCTTGTTAATTTCGTCCCTTAAGACTTTTTGCTGTGCTTGCTGTGTATTATGGATCTATAATATGCAAATATTTCCCATTGTTAATAAACCTTCACAGCATACATTGTAATAACTCCAGAGGGATCCATTATGGTTATGAATACATATAATGACCAATATCCCACACTCAGCTGAGTGCTCAGCTATGGATTCTCCAGCTTGTCTGGACTGTCATACCTCTCCTTTTGTTTGTGCATTGCTTCTCAGACAGTGCAGAAGCACTTACCAAGATGACTGATTATAATTTAAAGGCTTAGAATCTTGGGGAGTCTTCATTAAGACTGTGTTCTGTGTGGGTCAGTCCTAGCCTGGCCCTTCATTGTTCACTGGGAGTGTGACTCCGGGAGTAGGGGTTTTGGGCTGTCTTAGAAATAGCAGCTGGATATGTAAACCTTGGGTCACAGGCTGTCCGCATCAATAATGTCTTCTTGTTTCAGTCTGATTTTGCTTTTCAGGTTCCAATTCAGGGGGCAAGGGATTAAGGGGTAGAATTTGAATGTAGAATTTGAATTGTGCCTTAACTCTTTTTTTTTTAGTACTGGGTATCAACCTCAGGTATCAAACTTTTTTTAGTACTGGGTATCAAACTTGCCAGGCAGGCACAATGCCACTGAGCTACATCCCTGGCCCTTATGCTTTAACTTTTTTTTTTTTGGTACTGGGGATCGAACTCGGGTCCTTGCACTTGCGCAGCAGGCAGCGAAACCACTGAGCTAAATCCCTGGCCCACTTCTGCTTTAACTTTTGCCCCATTCATCTTGGGTACTTCTAATCTGAAGGCTTGTTCTCAAATTTGAGGCAGAATTTTCCTTATTAGGAAGGAATCTTGATGTATTTTAAGCAAGAGACTCATGAAAGCAAAGTTCATTTATATTCAATAAGATTTTTTTTTTTTTTAAAGATAGAAACCACAGTGCCTTTAAGAAGGGCCCTGATCTTTTTTGGAGTTACTTGGGATTAGAGGTTGCATCAACATACCCTTCCTAGGATGTTGGGAGATAAGCACTGTTCCTAGAGACTGACCCTAGATGGAAGAGAAGGTTGTTGGGCTTAGTTTGGGAAGTAGGACGGGCTCTAGATGCATAGGAAGAGGAGATAAAAGTTTTATGGTAAGTGCTTGGTCTTCCCTCTGTTGTGGGAAAAGTTTATTTAGTCATTTTCTGGCCTCCTGGCAAATTGGTTATGTGGGTAGGAGTGTTAGATGGAAATACGTTATAGGCTAAGCACATTTTATCTTTTCTATTCCAGTTATAAGTTCTGTGGAACTCCCACTGGATGCAGATGTACAGACCAGTAATCTACTAATAACCTTCTTAAAGTATAGCTCAATTGTCATGCAAGATACCAAAGGTAAGGCATGCTATTTTGGGGCACAGGAAGTAGCAGGTATGTCAGGCAGCTGGAATTAAAGAGCAGTGCTGACATTTGACAGGATGAACTGTCGGGGCCTCCTATGCAAGGCCATGGTCTTGACTACTGGAAAACAGTGATTTCTCACTGCTAGATAGAGATTAAGTGGTGTTAGGAAAACCTGAAGCTGGAAGAGAGTGTTCAGAAATAGAACAGGAAAAAAAATTGGTCTCTACAAATGCTAGCAAATCTTTTTAGCAAATCTTGGTAAGTAGATGAGGACTCTTCTGTGTGGGAAGTTGGGGGGGAGATTAGCACACTTCAGGGAATTCCCTTTTGAGGACAAGAACTGAAGCATCAGCTTGTGGTGAGAATTAGAAGACTGTTGTGCAGAGTACAGTAGGAAAAGATGAGATTCAGAGGGACCATGTTCCTTAATGCTTAAAATAGAAGTGTTAGAACTCATCCTAGAAATGCAGAGTGGAAATAGGAGAGGATTGGGTATGGGAAAATTTTGATTTTTTATGTGTGTGATAGTGGGGATTAAACCAAGGGCCTTTACACCGAGCTATATCCCCAGCCATTTATAAAGTTTTTATTTATTTATTTATTTATTTGGTACCGGGGATTGAACTTGGGTCCTTGCGCTTGTGCAGCAGGCAGCGAAACCACTGAGCTAAATCCCCGGCAAGTTTTTATTTTTTAATTTGATTTTTTTTTTTTTTTGTACTGGGGATCGAACTTAGGACCTTGTGCTTTCGAGGCAGACGGTTCCCACTGAGTTAAATCCCCAGCTAAAGTTTTTATTTTGAAGCCTGGGCTTTTTTTTTTTTTAGACAATGTCTCACTATGCAGTTTAGGCTGGCCTTGAAATTGCTATGTACCCCAGGGTGGCCTCTGACTTGTGGTGAGCCTCCTACCCCAGCCTCTCAAATGCTGGGATTAGAAATGTGCACCACCACGCCTGGCTGAAACATGGCCTTGCTGCATCACTAAGTTGCCCAGGCTAGGCTCAAACTTGTGGTCCTCACCACTGAAGTACTTCTGCAGCCCTGATCCAATTGTTGTTGTTGTTGCTGTTGTTTTGGTTTTTTGAGACAAGGTCTGCTATGTAGCTCAGGCTGCCCTTGAACCTCAGCTATCCTCCTGTCTCTGCCTCCCAAGTGCTGGGATCACAGGTGTGCACCAGCATGCTTGGCTTCTTGCCACTCTCTGAAGCAGTTCTGGAAATTCTGTTTTGTCTTTACGAGGTGTGATCAAAAATTGTTGAGGGCTGCTGCCAAGTGCCATTCAAGAGAAAGGCAGGCTTGTGAAAGCATCATGGTGCGTCTTCATCCACCTTATTCACTGGATCTGGCACATGCGACTTCTGTCTGACTCTTCCCCAAAGTCAAAATGGTCATGAAAGGTGTCTTAATCACTTTGTTGGCACTGAGACACAATACCTGACACCTGCAAATTAAAGGAGAAGCGGGGCCAGGGATTTAGCTCAGTGGTTCCGCTGCCTGCCCCGCAAGTGTAAGGACCCAAGTTTGATCCCCGGTACCAAAAAAAAAAAAAGAAAAACAATAAAGGAGAAGAAGTTTATTTTGGCTCCCATTTCAGTTGGCTGGCCCCAAGGCATGATGGCACGTCGCAGGGGCATGGCGGAGGAGAGCAGCTCGAAGCAGGGTAGGAGGAAGCAGAGTGCAGGGAGAGCTGGGGACGGAGAGAAACTCGGCAAGGCCCTGCTCCCAGTGGCCACCTCTTCCCCACCTCACATCAGGTCAGCTGTGAGCTCCATAATCCAGTTGCCGTCTACAGCCCCCACCTGTACTCGAGTGCATGAAGCTCTTGGGGGACACCTAGATATAAACTAACAAAGGATAAACATTTTGAGTGAACTTAGGAGGCCATGACAGTGAAACTAAAGATACTCATGAAAAAGGACTTCCACAACTGCTTCATAAAGTGGCAAGGATGATGGGATAAAGCATGTTCAAAGGCAGTGCCAGCATCTTGTGGGAGATCAATGGCAATGTATCTTTTACTATAGTAAACTTTAAAAAAGTAAACATTCATTGTATTTTTTTATTACACTTCATGCATGAGTTGAAAGGATCGTGCAGCAGTCACCTTCCTCTTTCTTCTTCTTCCTCTTCCTTCCCCTCCTTTTCTTCCTTATTTTGTGGTGCTGGGGAGCAACACACCAAGCATTTAAGTGAACTTTCTTTTTTTTGGTACCGGGGATCAAACTCGAGACCTAGTGCTTGTGAGGCAGGTGGCGGCACCACTGAGCTACATCCCCGGCTCTTAAGTGAACTTTTTTTTTAAGGTATTGGAAATTGAAACCAGGGCCTTCTGCATGCTAAGCAAGCACTGTAGCACTAAGCCACATCCCCAGCCCTTTTAAAAGTTTGTTTTGAGACCAGGTTTCACTGAGTAGCTTAGGCTGGCCTCAAACGTGTACTCCTGTCTCATCCTCCTAAGTAGTGGGGTTACAGATGTGTGCCACTGCACTCATCCTTTAATGAACATTTTCATTAGCGTTTTATTTGGTACCTAAAGGTTGATCCAGTGGGTTTCTTCCAGTTAGAAAGATTTGTTTTTTCCCATTAAGTTTATTGGTACATTTTAGGTATACAATATGTTTACATTTATCATTGGGTGCTTGTACCTGTACATGATGGATCTTGGTTCTTATTTTCTCCCCATTCCCTGTCCTCCCTTCACTCCCTCTACCCTTCCCTATTTGCAAAGACTTTATTTCCATTTTTTCCTTTTCTCATATTTTTTCTTTTCCCTTCTTTCCTTTCCCCTACCCCTCCCAATTCCCCTACTCCTTTAGACCTTTTGTTTCTATTTCACATTATCAATTGTACAGTTTGATCCTTATTTACACTTTTAGTTTTTCACACCAGAGAAACTATTCGGTATTTACACATGTGTGTCCTATTTATTTCACTTAAGAATATGGCCTCAATGTGCATCCAGTTAGCTATAAATGTCTCTAGTTTCTCGTTCTTTATGGCTGAGTAGTACTCCATTTTATAAAAAAACCACATCTTTATCCAGTCTCCACTTGATGGGCAGTTGGGCTGTTTCCAAGCTTTAGCTATTACAAACTGTGCCACTATAAACATGGGTGCAAATATATCGCTCTGGTATGATGCTTTTAATTCTTTGGGGAAGATACCTAGCAGGGGAATAGCTGGGTCAAATGGGACCTCTAATCCTAGTTCTTTGAGGTATCTCCATACTGATTTCCACAGTGGTTGCACCAGTCTGCACTCCCACCAACAATGAAGAAGGGTTCCTTTCTCCCCATAC